CTGAGACCTCGAATTCCCATTGCTAGTGCTCAGCTCCTGCCTGCTCGATCCAGATCCCGTTGGCTCATGTCTCATGCTCCTTCCCCAAGTCTTGCTCCATCCTTGCCATGGTTTTGGGGTTTTCTTCCCTGTATTACACCCTTTTTCTCTATGACGGAGTAGCTGTGACCCCAAGGGCATGACAGCAATCACCACCTGCTGAAGGACGAGCAGTCCGTGCATGGCCATAAACTGTGACCTGAGGAGCTGCTGGTGCTGCCCGTGTGGTGGAGGGCTCTGTGTCTGTACCCACTCTTTAATTACAGGCTAGGAAGTTGAGCCTATCTAAAAGACAAAAAAAATGCCCAACAGACTCATACTGCTCGCAGCAGCACAGGGGGCGAGGGGAGGCATCTCGGCGAGCTCCTTCCCAAATCAAATGATTCTCCAGAAATGTTCTCAGACTAAACAATTATTAATAGCTTCTGAGAGAGGTTCAAATAAACATCCCTCTCCTGCAGAGATAAGGGGAAGGCTACATGCAATTGCTTTGAATCTGATCCTCTGGCTGTTAATGTTAAATAAATTTAAAACGGCCATAAGGGTAGGAACCCCTCAGAGGTCACGTCTGCTTATTTGTCTGATTGCAGTAGGTGTCTCCTTAGACTGAAATCCAGCACAGCCCTGTGCTGCTCCTGCAAACCAAATACCAAAGCGCTGGTGAAGCAACGCACATCTCATACATAAATGATAAGCAATAGAGATTTTGCAGAAGGAAAATGAGGTTTGAATGGAGCTAGTGAGCAAGAGGGAGGAAAATAAGTCTGGGTGGCGAGAGCCTGGGACAGCGGGGAGGAGGCAGCCACGGGCAGGAACGGAGCCACGGGGAGCTGGAGGCACTCCACACACGGCTTACAAACCAGGAGGGCAATTTTGAGCAAGGTGCAAGTGCCAGCTGTGTTTTTTCCCTTGTTTTAAAGCAATGATTAATCTTACATTTTAGACATTTTTCTTTTTAGCCCTTTCTCAGACTATTTAGAGAAAGGCAGATCTCTGGAGTGATAGCGTATGGCCCTCGGCAAGGTCGGGTTGATTACGGCGGAGCGTTTGTCAGCCCCAGCCTGAGAGCCGAGAGCAGCTGTGAGCACCCGGGCAGGGTCCCGGCCACCGCCGGGGGGTCGGGCAGGGGAGAGGGGGAAGAGAGCCCATCACCGGCGGTGAAATCACCTTCTTCTGGTCTGCTTTTGTGTCCCGAACAGGCTGCTACGTCCGCAAAGTGGTGAACATCTCCTTTGGCCTCCTGATTGCTTATCTCAGCATCCCGGTTGTCCTAAACCTGCTCAACTCCAGACAAGTCATGAACACCTCGTTCAACCCTCTCAGAATAGTGAACACCTACGGAGCTTTCGGGAGGTACATGTGTTTTAATGGCACATCGTATAGCTCTGCTCCTCTCTCCAGTATAGTCTGGTAGCCAGTCTGTGTGCCTTAAACTTGAACAGAAGTCCTAGAAATCCTTCCAGTAGCCAGTAGACTTGGAATATCTGTTTGTGAGAAAGAAGGAGAAAAGGAACAGGTTTCTTTCCCACTGAATTATAATTTATTTTCTTTGAGCCACTTTTAGTTAGCTCATTATATTGATGTAGCACACGTAATAGCAGGATGAAAATATCCATAAAAGAGTTCATCCAGTGGATAGTCTTCGCCATCACCAGCCCACTATATTTATGGTGAACTCCTCTTCCCCTGCGCGCATTTGCTCTCCCTCCTGTAAGTATTCACATAAGCTATTGGGTAGCAGAGTTTAGGCCAACAAAAGGAAGTGCTTTTTCCAACGAGTGACTTGGGGAATTCATTGCTACAGGAAACTGTGGAGACGAAAGTATAAACGGCCTCAAAAAAGAGCAAGACAGACTGAGAGGACAGGCCCAGCAGCAGTCTGGCTGCTGCCTTCAGCTCAGGAAATCCCGCTTTCGGCTGGAAGGTGGGACTGGACAAGGGAAGCATCTCCAGCTGCCTTTGTAACTAGGCTGGTTCTTAAGCATCTGAGTCTGGGTTTCCTGAGGAGAGGTCACCAGGCTTAGGTGAGCCACGGTTGGGCTCACCGTAACCGTTCTTGTGTGCTGTCCCTCCCAGCCTCTTCCAACTGAGAAAATGCTGAAAAACAGGGCTTCATCGGAACAACTTGCCCCAGGGGCAACAACAGGGCCGGTCTTCTCTGCATGGACCTCTGGCTTTGCTACCACCTCACGATGGTGGCTGTGGGATGATCCCTAGAGGTCTGAGCCAAGGGGTGCGATGGGCAGCTCTTGGGTTAGTAGGCTCTGGACAAGGTCCCACAGGAGAAGCCAGCCGTAATTAAATAGGTTTTATAAAAGGCAAAACAGGTTGGCTGTTGAGAGGGCTGGCTGAGCGGGTGGTGAAGGGGAGGAGCAGGTCTCACTGTGAGCACTGGAGATGCAGAGGACACCTGGAGCACATCAAATTAATATGATGTTTTCCCCAGTTTTTCAAATAGCAGAAATTTCTGTGGAAAGAAAAAAGTTAGGAAAAAACATGATTAAGAATATCAATGCTAGTTGTGGAAAATGCTAAAGTTTCTCCTCTTTTTTGAGAGAGGGAGAAGTAACCCCTGAACCTCTTTGAAGGCTGGAGTGGTGAAGCTACGGGAGATTGTTTTCTTTGGGTTGTTGTTCTTTTTCTTCTTCAGTCTATGGTTTCTGTTTCAACAGTTACCAGAACCTAAAGAGCATGTGATGAAATGCTGCTGTAATATGTTTGTAATTCCAGCCTATGTAAACCAATAAAAAGAGGATTGCAGCTTATAATGAATATACGATTATGTGAAACTTGACATATTTTGAATCACACAGTAGGAACATACTTTTATTAGTAATTTGGTGTCCCTGATTTACAGTGTGTTTCTAACCATTGGGCAGCTGGCCACGGCTCATAACTCAGCCCAGCGTATAATATGGAACTTGGCTGGAGAATCCAGAAATCTATTAAATGTAGGTAACAATTATAAGTGGAGACGTACAGCATTCCTTGGGTTGTAAGCATCTATCACTGGAAGCCATTGGGGAAGAAGGTGGAGGCTGTGTGTTTCCAAACTTTCGGTTTCTTGGGTTGGAGGAAGAGGGACCAAAGTAGTAAAAAATTAAAAGGGTGTTGGGAACTGGACAACTTTGATAGGCAGAGTTACGCAGTTATGTGTTCGTTATGGAAAACAGCTCTCCAGTGTAGGCGAGCGTCACTGAGAGGTCATTGAGAACTTGATGATGGCGTTTTCACATGGGTTTTCCATGGCCTGGAGAGTTTGCCATCCCCACTGCTCTACCACCTTGCTGTGCAGAGAGAGTCCAGCCAAGCAGCAAAGGGAATACGCAGGACCTGCCATAAGGCTGTGGTGCTTTTTAACCAAGTTTCTATACATCAGCTGGGTATGGGGTGGCTTTTTTGTTTTCATTTTCTGCTTTTCTTGGCTTGGTTTGCATTGGCTCACAAGTTACCTCCTCCTCCTCCTCCTCTTCCTGAGTAGTAGCTCCATGAGACCTGTCTTCCAGCCGGGATGGTGAAATGTTTGGGCACGTAGAGACAACTATTAATAGTGCCCCAAGAGTCAGCTCCTGGGGGGTGCTCCGTTTGGGGCCAACCACCTCCCCAAGGCTCAAGCAGCTGTAGCCAGTTAACTTGGGCTCATTGCGAGCGTGGCCATTGCCATGGCCAAGGTTTGAGCTGGAGCTCAGCACCCCGTGGCCAGCAGCGCTGCGGGGAGAGCCAGGCTCGCAAAGGGGACGCTGGAGTGGTCCCAGCTGGAAGCTGCTCTGCTGATCCCGCAGCCGTGCCATTAGCACAGCCACACACGCCAGTTACAAGCCTGTATTTTTGCACATGGCACATGCGAAAAACCTGGAGATGGAGCTATGTTTTGTGACCATCTTTCATCTCCGTTTTCTCATATCATTAGGAGCTTGTAGTCAGAGAGCTCTTGTATCATGGGAGTCGTCAGAGTAACAGAAACAAAGGTTTTCTTCAGAAACAGGGGACAAAGAGAGAAGTTGGTGCAGGTTGAAGATGTTCATGTGGGACTTGGGAGACACTCATTATATTCTCTCGATGCCTTGGACAAGTGTTAGGCTCTGATGTAGAAAGACAGACCCATCCATTTCAGTAGGAATCATCCTTTTGGGCCATAGTCCCTCCTGGGACTGGCAGTTAGAGGGGAGCGTGGGAGGGCGTGGAAGTTGAAGTTTTCCATATACTTTGCTGCTGGAGAGAGAAAAGTCTGCCGGATGGACAGGTTCTCTGTAGCTTGACCCATCAGGATCCAACTGTACCACGAGGCCATTGACTCGTGTTGCCATGTTGACTGTCATGAACTAGCATTTTACATGACTTGAGATAAAAAACAATATCATGTTGTGTCCCACAGCATTACCAAGGAGAGAACAGAAGTCGTCCTTCAGGGGACGTCCAGCCTGGATCCCAATGACCCCGCTGCTGTCTGGGAGGAGTATGACTTCAAATGCAAGCCTGGGGACTTGAAGAGGAGGCCGTGCTTTATCACCCCCTACCACTACCGCCTGGACTGGCTTATGTGGTTCGCTGCCTTCCAGGTATGTGCCTTTGGGTGTTCTGAGGCTTGGGTGTCCCTTGACCAGGAAAAACAATTTATATGGATTTACTGTGTGTTGGGGTGGTTGGGGGAATATCTGAAGGCCCCGGCTAAGTCAATTATGTTAAAAAAGAAAAAAAAAAAGGTTGTATTCCTCAGGGATGTCTACCACTGGTGTAATGAAACTCTTGGAAATTTTGTGTGAGGCTTTTTCGTTGTTTCTCAGCAATAACAAGAGTTAAAGGCATGGAGCAAGCCCCTGGCCTGCACCTGCCTCGCGAGGCGGTGGCCTGGCGGGGCAGAAGCTGCCTCGCAGGGTGCCCAGGACTCGCCAGGGCTGGCAGCATCCCCAGCTGCCCGCTCCCGGCCGGCTTGAACCCGCATCCCTGTTGGGGACACCCCTGGGGACCCCGGCTGTTGCTCCCACTGCCCACCTGCCTACATATGAACGCAGGGTCCCTCAAAATATTTTCCCCACGTGGTACCAGCAAACAGGTGACAGCCATAAATTAAGAAAGAGAAGAGGGGGGGAAACTTGTAACATTAATTCTTGTATATCTTTTAGCCTATTCTGCAAAATCTTATTCGCGTGAGCATGAGAACTTGGACCAGGTTTTACAAAACTGGGGCCTACAACAGAGGCAAACCCATCTCAGATTATCACAGGCTTTTCTCTTTGTTCCTGTATCTTCTCCCGGCATATCCTCTTCCCTCACTCCTCTCCCCCTGCCCCAAACTTCTCTGTTTGCTTTCTTTGTGGTATTTTCATTTAGGCGCCTTTTGGATTCCTCAGCGATGACATAACCATCGCTCTTTGGCTATGGTTTTATATTTACCCCGCTAGTTTTTGTGTGCTGGAATTTCATTTAATCTTCATTAGGTATGCTTATCCCTCAGCAAGATGACAGCAAAGGTTAAAACTCAAGCCAGCAACGGTTCCCAGCGTTACATAAAGGTGCAGAAGGTTGAATGGGAGCTGTTGGTTTAAATCTGACTGTATTTTGGGAGGGCTCCGGCAGCGGAGGAGAAACCCAGCTCACCCAAGCGAAGGTTGTTTCTGAGATGAGAGAAAGGCTGTTTGTTTCCAGGGCAGGAGTGTCCCGAAGGCTTTAAAATACAAAGTGATCTCAGGTTTAAAACCAAAGGAGGACAGGGCACAAATACTGATGCATCACAGGCGAGCGCGGGCTGTGCCAGTGCTGAGAGACACCATCACACCCCAGCGCCGTCTCTCCGCAGAGCCGGGCCAGGCGCTGAGCGACCGGGAGGTACGGGACAGCCTGGGGAGGAGGAGGAAGAGGAAGTAACGCGGCCTCTTCGCATCTTTATGATTAGTGTTTAGTTCACTGCAAGGTTCCCCCAAGTGTTTCTGTTAGCCTGGGTGCAGGGGGCTGCTGGAGCGCGTGCCTGCCAAGGCGTCTCTCCACACCAGCTGATTAGCAGCAATTAGCGTTGCGGGTCTCGTGCACTGGCCGGAGGAGGGTGCGTGCCTCCTGCTCGGGTGGGTGCATGCCGGGGGCGTGCGTCAAGTCCTGGAGCGCGTCCGTCACCTCCCCGCTGCGGTGGCACCGGGGGGAAATGGGTCTGTAGCCCCTTTCCGGCTATCCCAGCGTGTGCATCCCGTGCCCACTGCAGCGCTCCCTCGTCCCCTCCTGCCACTGGGGACTTTCCCATGCCCCCCCCGGCACACACAGGTCTCCATGAAGCAATTTCAGATCCTGCTTAAAAGAGGTATTAACAAAAGGTGCTGAAAGGAGAAAAAAAACCTTCTGAAAACTGTGGATGACTCTCGTTAAAAACAATAGGAAGGCAAGTAGCCTAGGCACAGCAGCAAGCATTTTCAAATCTGGTTGTTCGGGCATGTAAATACCTGCTTGAGCATGGAAGTAAATCCCATTTGGAGTGGCCGAACATTTGTTTGAAAACTGTGAGCTGTATATTTGGTGCCAGCTGTCATCCCTGGGAAAGCTGGCTCTCCTGCCGTCATCCCCGCGCCGCCGCAGCCAGGAGAAGTCACCGTCGTTCGGGTGTTGTTTAAACTTGAGTCACACAGAGCTGCAGAAAGGATGAGAAACCACAAGTTGAAACCCCAGAAGAAGTTTGTGAAGCCAGGCAGGCCTTGCAAACCCTGTACATTAGTTTACAGAGTCCATAAAACCAAGTTACTTCAGCCTCTGGATTAGATTTAATTTGTTTTTAAAAAGTTCTGGATTTTTTTCTACGTCACTGCTCGCCGTCTGCCCCATCGCTTCCCGCGCAGGCGGCCGCAGGGCTGGTTTTGCAGTTCATTGGCACTGGCCAGGTAAGGAGCTGACATATCCAGCTCTGACAGGCTGCAGAAAAGCCGGGGACTTGGGGGGAAGATATTTACCATCCCTTTGTGCTGCTCGTGACAGGTTCCTCTTTGCACCTCATCACCGCTTGACATATGACGCCTTCCTCCGCTCGGGGTTTCCTGCAAAACTTTCCACCTTGGCTATAGCTGCAGGATTCGCTTTGAAGAGCCGCAGCATGGGAGAGCCAGGCCCTTGGCATGGCTGGGGCGGGGGGGGCCAGCCGTAGAGTAATACAGTGTGTCGGGGGAGCCGCCGGCACAGCCCTGGCACAGGAACGGGAGGAGCCGCGGTGCTGCTCCACCTCTGAGTTGCAATTTATTAGTTGACTGCCTCTTAATTACCATTCCAGTAGCGCCATAATTATATGTCATATAACATGGCATTATTTTCCAGGAAACAATTTTTGTGATGTTAATTTTATTATCTAACTATAATATGCCTTTTCACTTGTTTTCTAAATCCCCTCTTTGTTTTGTACGTCTCGACATCCCGAGGGTGCAGTAGCTCTGAATTGAAGCCCTTCATTTAGTTCTGGCAGGGACATAACCCATCCAGAAACATGTCTGCATTGCTTCTTCCCGTCTGCAGAAGGGGAAAAACTCCCACGAACCGGCAGCAGCGTGCAGAAATCTGTGTGACCCTTTTCAGTTGTTTCTCAGCAGCCGCCTCGGACGGGACCCCCTTCGCTCCGTCACCCAGTTGATAACCTGGTCACCTGTAGGCAAGGTGTGCTGGGGCGGTCTCAACAAAAATAATGTGTCTGTCGGTCAGGAGCTGATGTTCAGGTGCTTGTTGCTGAGGTCGGTCGCTCTGGATCACTTACCTCCGTCGAAGCGGTTTAAACCAAGGTCTGAGCCGACTTAATGCATGTGCACGGTTTTAAGAGGAGCTACTGCTAATTGAAAAGAAGGACACGATGTGCTCATTGCGTTTGCAGATGTCCCCAAGCTGTGAGCAGAACAGAGGACAAGGTCTAAAAGCCCAGCGATCTTGCTGGTTTTGGTCCGAGCAGACAGGAGAGGCATGTGCGGTGCTGCACACAGGCAGGACCCCATCACCTGCCCCGGGATGGGATGGAGCAGAGCATCGTGCCCCGGGGAAGCCTCTTGGGCCGAGTGTGCCTCACGAGATGAGCACACTTAGGAAAAGGCATTGTGAAAAGGCAAACACGGTACCATGATAGGCGAGCAGGCGTTCGGCGCGCATGGTGTCACCCTCCCACTACACTCAGCCGAGCACCCAATTCGGGAAGGATGCAGCTGACTGGCAAGGGTGCAGAAGAGGGACCCGCAGGAAGAGCAGAGGTGCAGAAACCTCCCACGGCAGCAGGGCGAACAAATCTGCATGGGCATCCCAATGCCAAAACAGGTTTGGGATAGGCGAAAACCTACTGCAAAGGGGAAAGCAGCAACCTGTTTTCCGTGTCCCTGTGGAGAAGGGAGGAAATAATGGATGAAATGGCAGAATATGATTTAATCTCAGGAAAATTCAGGTTAAGCAGTAGGAAGAACTTTCACCCCTTGGCACTTTATTGTATTAGTGCAAAACCATCCTGTTTTTACAGCAGCTGAAGACAAATTGTTAAAGCTTTGTCTGTCCTCCAGCTACTGATGGCAACGCTCCTGTAATTATTTGACTTCTCATTTATGGTGGGCATTTGTAGAAGGAGCCCAGCCACCACAACCCAGAACTGAGCTATGCTGTGCCGCTGGTACAAAAAGCGTTACAATTTTTGGCAGGCTGTGGGTGCATTCAGCATGGTTAACAAATAGCAACCAGAAAACAAAATACTGCTCATAGTTTTGGGGCTTCAAGTTGGTCACTTTTCCTGGTAGCAGGATGTCTTGGACTTTACAAAAGCCAGTTGTTTATCGTACCAAAGATTTGTTCTTCACCAGTGGGCAGCAGTGGAAAGCCTTCAGTGCTCTGAATAAAGAAAAATCAAAGGGAAGGCTTTTCCTCTCCTTACTGTGGCATGAAGGTTATTTATTCTATTTGGGGACTGCATTTGGCCAACACGAAGGCACGCTCTTGGTGCTTACCAAATAATAACTACGCAAAAAATAACAAAGCTAATGCCATCTTCATATCGTTTTTTAAAGCCCGTGTCTTGTTGCATTGTACCTTGAAGCTGCTCCGAAAGTCTCTGAATGTCAGGACTGGCACAGAAACCGCTCAGGCTGGTGGCCCGCGTTGCTGTGTCCTCCAGGGCTCTGCAAACTGTCAGCAAACCCACCGCAGGGCAGCATTTGCCATGCACTGAGAAGCAGTGTGTGTTTTCCAGATACGATGCGTTCAGCTGCCTTCCTAAGAGAGGAGAGAAACTTCAGCGGCGGGATTGATGCTCTGAGGATCGCCCCTGGGTTAAACAGGGAGTCGTGATGGAGGCTTCATGTTATCGCACACAAACTGGAAGAGCTGAGAAAAAGTAACACTATTTATAGAGAAGGCAGATTAATATTTTTGTAAAATATTTTATTCAAGCCTCTGTTATCTCGGTCTTCCAGCCAGAAGGTGCTTACAGGAAAATGCTGCATGGCAGCAGGATGGAGGAGGAGGTGTGTGTAACATAATAAAACCTAAACCTCATGTGCAGTGTACTAAGCACAGCCTTTTACGTTTCCTTTCTTCCCCCTTCTAAAAATACAGGCCTCAATTCACTTCC